AAAAAAAAAATCCCAGTTTTTTCGCGCCCCGTTTGAGTGCCGTAAGATAGGCGCTTTTGCCATTGGCCGATGCATGGCGATGGGCGATTTTGCAAAGAAATCGGCGATATGTACATATGTAGTATATGTATACGCTATTTAAATCAAAAAGTGAAGTTTTATATTATCTAAAAGATATTGTCAAGTAGTATATGATTTACCGCCCTATTCCCACACCACTGACAAAACTCAGCGGCTGACTATTGCCTTTACTACTGCGCCTAATACTATGCCGCAAATTTATTTTAAGCTGTCGTATGACAATTGTCAGTTTTATTGTTATGACCTACTGAGTAAGTGACAACGGCGAAACAATTTTTATATTGTGTTTTAGGCGCAGTAATTGTGACAATAGTCATATGATGAATTTTGTCAGTGTTGTGGGAATAGGGCGGTTAATTGTATTACTTTACATTGTATTACTTACATATATATAAATAATGTATAAAATAAACTCGATTTGTATGCTGACTTTAACTCATTCTGTTTTTTGCTTTTCGCTAAAAATTAATAATTAAATTGTAATGGCCTTATTCATAAAAAATAAAGTAGGTTTAAAGAGCTTTATAAAATGACGTTTTCATACATTTTTCAGTTTATAAACCGTTTTTAAAGCTACTTTATTTTTTATGAATAAGGCCATAAGTTTTTACAAATAACAGTTCTAACTAGGTTTAGGGAAATTGCTGTTACAGCCTAACCTAATATAAACGCACGGCGTATAAGTTTTTTTTCTGCGTTCCCCGAAATTGGCCTGCGTGCGTTTGCATATGATTTCACTGAGCGAAACGTCAAATCAAAATCTCACGCAAAACACAAATTGGAAATAGAGTTAAGGCCTCGCCAGATAGAAATTATTTTCTGCGTCACAGGGATGCTTTTGACTGACATCGAAGTTAACTCTGTGATTTTGAATAGAAGACGCCGCATTGGCAACGCATGCATTGCTGCAACTGATAAAAATCGCCCAACTCTCAACTTTTGACGCGCGTGAATGCGGCAAAACAACAATGTATGAAACGAATTCAAACCAGCTGACTTTTGGCCAATCAAAATGAGCCGTTTGGTTTGCGGTAACGTTTTCATTGTGCCGCCCCGCCATGTTATGTGCGTCTTGTCAGTCAAAATCATCCGTGACGCAGTAAAGAATTTCTATCTGGCGGGGCCTTTAGCTGTTAAACGTGGTAATGCAAGCGCTTTTTCTAGGCATTTTGTTGTTAAAATGCGAGAGCGAAAATCTACATTGCCGTTCATCAGAAAAGTACCAGAAATACATATCGTGTAAGAGCGCTATTACGAAGTAATACCGAAGTACTGCACAATATATCTGGATAAAGAAAAATCGATTCGCAACAAACCTCAAATATCGCGAAAAATCGTGTTTGTACACTTTGAGGTTAGGATATCTCAAAATTCTGACGTGGTAGAGAAATTCTGCAGCCACATTTGGATTCGGCACCAAAAAATCAGGTGGCAACAAGAGTAAAAATTTTTCAAACTGTGTAATCAATCCATAATCAAGAAAATAAAAAAATAAATACTTAACTTACCTGCGTGCTAGCATTTTCAACGCGAATACAATTTAACAAGAACGCAAGAGAGTGGGTTTGCAACTTCCGTATTTTATCCATCATGGTTGCATTTTAGTGAATTTAAATTTGTAGATTCTTGTAAATTCAGTACTGCCACAGCTTTAAATATTCCATGTTTGACCTATCTATGAGAAATTTGAGTGCAGAAAAAAGCACTTAAAAGGGCGCTAGGCACTAAACCATTTTTATGGCGTTATAATTTTCAAAAAGCACTAAATCTCTAGTGCTTAAAGCACCAAGTTGGCAACTATGTGTAGATATGTACATATATGGATATTCAGGAGTAGGTAAAACTGCCAAATAGGTGTCTAACAACTGAAAAACTTTTGCGGTGAAGGCAAAAATATCTAATAGTTGCCAACAATTTAAACATAAAAAACTAGCAAAAGCCCACTTGAGGGCTTAGAGGAGTCGTTGAAAGGCAAAAACGGTCCCTGGGTCGCCTAACGGAAAACGTATCCTATATGTTAACCCAGGCAATTAGCTATCTACGTGCTAAATTTCAAGCAAATCGGGCAATAGATATGATTTTTCCTATATTTCAATCCAGGTCACATGAACCACCTTCGTGAAATATTTCATTTTTAAGCAGGTGTGTTGTGATATGTGATTTGAAGTATGTTCACATATACATATTTAAATATTATCTCAATCACCGCGTTTAACAGGCAAATTTCAGGTTAACTGTCAAATTTCTTGTGTTTAATGTTTTCACATCTCAAGAAAATGTTAAGTTCCTTCTGTGTGCCACCGTGATCGCTTTTCTCCTCTTCTTCGCAAAAATAATCAATGCAACTAGATTGGACACCGGAAAGGTATCGGTTTAATCTGAGATTATTTTATAATTAACGAGGAACGAATTTTGTATAGCCAATCTCTTTTTCTTATTGCACATTAGGGAGATAAGCTCCAAAATGAGGATAACCTACTTATATGTAAATCTAATATTAACTAATTAAATCAATTTAACTTCCTGAAGGAAATTTGGCTAGAATGTATTTTCACACTGGCACCGAAACTGCTGTCAGAGAACATGAAAGTCGCAACCCAAGCCATAAACCGGAAAGCAGTACCCCTTAAAAATGTGAACAATGCGCTAGCGGAGACAAGTACCCCTTAAAAATGTGGTGAAAAATGCAGGAGTACGTGGACCATCCGTACTCAATTTCCAACTTTTTAAAGTTGATATTAGTTTTCCAGAATGGCCTTATAGGCATAAGTTATCGCATAGACTAAGATATTTTCACATTAACGTGATTCATATCGATTATCTGGTCAAGGAAAAGGGCGTAGAATCTACTATTATAAGAGTCGCCAAAAAAGTAAAAAATTCATTTTTTCGATACGTAGGTCCATTTTAATTTTCCCTGCCACATTAGTAAAGAAATGGAAGAAATTGTAATAGAAATGAAAGAAATTGTAAAAGATAAGAGCAAACGCCAAAAAACAGGTGATCTCAGCTGTAGGCATTTTTTGGCAGTCAGCTGATAGTGTTTTTACTTAGGAAACTGTACGATGCTAAAGGTGTAGCTACAAGTTTTTTTCGCGACCCACCCTAATGTAGCTAGTTATGTATATACATTCATATTTACACCGTATACACTTGCGTATTTTTATAAAACATAAATACACATTTTTTTTATGATTTATCTCTCGTTTTATTTCTTTAAAATTAAGCTGTTTCATTGTTAAAACTATAATTTTCTGATGAAAAGCAGCAGAACGCAATATTTTCGGCCGCTGCTTATTTACCGCCTAACCTTTCGTTAATTCCAAAATTAATGTCAAACTGTTTCCAATAAATTTTATTCTAAGCCATGTTTGCCACATTTTTCTGTTTTATTTATTTTTGCTGCACATTCTCAAATAGATGCATTTAAGAAAAAATAGTATAGCTATTTAGAGTGCAAATTTTAAGCTTATATGCATTAAGTTAAGGAATAAAAAATATATATGTATGCATTTAGATCTAATACAATGGTGTGACGATGTTCGTTGTCACGCTGTGTGTTCATCGTACACGGCTATCGCATAGCTTTGTCTATTCGCTCGGGCTACATTGCGTACGGTTTCATATTTTAGGCATTATTTATACCTAATATTCTAACCCGACCGGTCTTGCTTAATTTGTTTGTTTGTGTTTGTGTTTGGGTTTATGTGTAAATGGAAATCATTTATCGTTAAATACCATTACAACTAATTCATACGCTCTTAAAAACTATATTAAAGTGAAATTTAAACATTCCCATTCATTAGCTCATTCAAGTTTGTTTAATAGTTTTTTTTTGTTTGTCCTCCTATCCAGGCTCCGTATCATCCCTATTATTATTTCTATTGCATATAACGGCTTTATTTTAATTATTACGGTTAATATTTGAAAAGTTGTATCGTTTTGTTTTTGTTGTTGCACATTTTTAGCAAACGCGCTATTGGTATTATACTCCGCATATACAATAATGCATAACTATTCAGAAATAGCGAAGTCCGTCTCATCCTTGGGCTCCAAAGAGCGATACTCATCCGAATCTTCGCTGCAGGCGGTACCATACGATGTTGTCTTCATATCCGCTGAGCAGCCACTCATTTCACCAGCCTCATTATCGGGACCTGTTATTAAGGGTATGCCGTGCTGCTTACCTGATGCAGTTGGCTGCTCTGTTATCACAGTCTGTAGCAGTAATTGTTGAGTAGGCGTGGGTATCATAGTCGTTGGCGTGCTAGTTAAAGTTTCAAAATTTTCCGGGTCTTCTTCTATGCTAACGCTCGTATAGCGACAACGTTCGCCCATCGATGAAGTGGTAGGATTTTCATTATTATCCTCAGTGTGTATTGCGGTGGTGGCGATTGGTGCTGAAGTATCGTCATAAGCTTCCATGTGTACTGCTGTGTAATCAACGACATCGCCTGAAGATAATGATGTTGTTGTTTTTGTAGTTATAACACTCTCCTCGATTGTGCTAATATTGGGTGAAAATTGAGCGTGACGCTGTGTGGGAGAGGCTAGACTACAGCCACTCACGGGAACGAGCGCTTTGCATCCAGTGGGTAGCAATGCACTGCTCTCGTTGTCGGCGCTTGTATCGCATTGCGATATCGATGTGGACGTGGATGCACAGAATGATGCTGTAAAGTAAAAAGTGAAAAAATTAATGTTAGCATTGCAAGTGACCTTAAAATAAAATATGTAGCATTTTTTCCTTACACTCAATTTTTTCGCGACGTGCAATCCAATGCTGCATGCTGGACAATGGCGCTAGCTTTATGCGATAAAATCTTGTGCCTTTGGAAACGCGGTAGCGATTTTCATCCTAAGATGTTTTGGGAATTTCGAAATATACATAAATGTCATACAGTTTTCTTTATATGATATTTAACGTAAATTCTGTGCTAAAAAGGAATAACCGCTATCCGGTCAAACGATGTCGAGCTCCAAATATTTAACATATACATTACAGTGACTCAAGCAAATAACCACGTGTTGATTTTTTTTAAACATTCGTAATGTTTTTCGAGCTAAATTTTTTTATATTTTTCTATAAAATTACCGTCTAAGCTTTAAGCAAAAAATGTCAACTTTTTAATTTTAATCTTTAGAACATTTTTGGGTACGTAGTTTTATAGCCAATACAGTTTTAGTATAATGAAGTGCAAGTTTCAACGGCAAAAAACCGGTTGATTTTAAAAATTTTGTTTGGTGACAGATTTCTGCACTTTTTTCCATACTGAGCCCCTTCCACCAAAATAACGTAAGCGACATTTTTTTCAAAATTCTTTCTTTTTAATGCAGAAATATTCCTAGAGCAGCCAGATGCATTTAAAATATTCTAAAATTCAGATTAAAAAGTTGAAATTTTAATGAAAGTTTGTTGAATTTTCCAAAATTTTGTATAAAGTTGGAAACTGTGATTTATATGTTTTTGCGTAATGCTAGGACGACATTTTTATAGAAAAAATAACCAAAAAATTTAAAATAATAAATTGGCGTTTACACATATGATAGTGTTTGGCCGAGCTTCTCCTCCGATTTGTGGCGTGCGTCTTGATGTTTTCACACATAGCGGAGGGACCTACAGTTTAAGGCCGACTCCAAAAGGCGATTGTATTTTTATGAGAAGCTGTTTTTCATGGCAGGAATACGCTCGGAGGGTTGTTATTGCCTGCCGAGGGGCGACCGCTATTAAGAAAAAACCTTTTTACAACACCTTTTTCTACATTTGTTTGCGATGTTGCTTTGACCAGGGCTTAAACCCAGGCCCTGCGTAGTGGAAGCGCACACTGCTTACCACTGCCAATAATAAAAACCGATTAGAAAAAGGTGACTTCAATGCGTATCACGATCTTTGGCATTTTGGCCCAATGAATGACAACGCAGCTTCATTAACTTTCGCTCGCTCAAACCTACACATACTTAAGCTACAATTGACTTGTATTTGTAACCCTATTCTACATACTTAATATACATTTGGCATTAAATCGATGGATGTGACGTAAACGATGTGTTTTAAGCACTTTCCCTTTGAAATATTTATTATTTTAGTTAAAATTATTCAAAAACGTTTTGCGAATCGCACGTACCTCAAATCGTATAAAAAATTTTTTAGCTTCGACAATTAGTTCTTCTAAGCACAGAATTTAAAAAGATGCAATAATAATAATATCTAAAAAATAAAGCTACCAACCTTCTTGGCCTGACAGTACTCTCTATCGACGACACGCCCAATTGCATAGTAAGGCACCGGTAGGAGCATGTTTTCCATTATTGTACTTTCGCTTGGTGCCGGAGCGAGTGGCATGCGCAGATTCATGCCCAACAGGCTGTCTCCATGGACAAAATACAAAACTGGAGAGTCCTGCACCACCATGTACTGGTTATGACGCACACTCCATACGATAAAAACGATGTCACCCTTATTGCAGGAGTCCAACAGCATGTACTTATGACTAGAACTTGGACTGAATGACAGAAACAATTAAAAGGTTATTTTAGTTAAAACGCATCTTAACTTACGCCCTTAAAGCGAAAGAGGTCTCCATTTCCAAGCGTTTGGACCGCTCTTTCTCTGTGACAAGCTCTTCTTCCAGTCGGTTTTTGTCACGGTTCAAGTACTCTATTTTCTCCTTAAGCCAACTGTTTCCCTCTTCATTGGTGAGCGCATCGATGCGAGTCTTCAATTGGTAGATCTCTTTTGTGAGCAAAAGATTCTGCTTACGCACCAGATCCAGCTGTCGATCTTTCTCCTCGAGCATCTCTTTCAGTATATTCACATTCCCCATCACAGATTCTGAGTTCAAATTTAGCTTGGTTTGCCAAATAGTGCGTTCTATTTCTACTGCTGCGGCGATGGCCTTCTCTTTTTCACTTTCAAATGTGGTACGCAATTGCGACACAATAGCTTCATGTTCACTGCGGTCGATCACGTTCTGATCGATGTTGGATGGCGGACGCTCCAACTTTTCCAAGCTCGTTTCGGACGGCGAAAGCTCCATCGATGTCATTAGTTTATAGCGGCAGCGCAGGGATTCGATTTCCGATTTATGCTCGTGCAGCAGTTCTTCGCGTGCTGCTGCCACCGCTCGTTGCTGTTCCATATGGGCTGCATTGAGTTGTTCCTTTAATTCCTCCAGTTTTGAGTGCAACACTTCTGTGTCACAAAGCTGTTGACGCAAAATGGCAAGCTCACTGTTATGCTGCTGCACTGTGTCATTAAGCAGTTCTTTCGTTTGCAGCAACTGCTGTTCGCGCTGCTCGCTTTGCATGCGTATTAAATTCCACTGATCGTGGAGCATTTGTAGTTCGGATTGGAGATCTTCGCGATAAGTCGCGGTTTCGGTGCGGCAGTGTTCCAAGTCAGCGCGTGACAAGCGTATGCATTCCGACGATAGCTTATACATAGCGCTTAAGATGCCACGCAAACGCTCTACCTCAGCACGAGCAGACGATTCCGTTTCGTCTGTGAGCGTCTCTGCGCTTTGCATTAACAAAATCGAAGTGGCTGCGCTGCGCGCAACTGTTTCTATGACTATAGTAGATGTCGCTTGTGTGGTGAACATTNTCTGTGAGCGTCTCTGCGCTTTGCATTAACAAAATCGAAGTGGCTGCGCTCCGCGCAACTGTTTCTATGACTATAGTAGATGTCGCTTGTGTGGTGAACATAGGAGCTTCTGATTCCGCTACCTCATCTGCTGTTACTGGCAACTTCTCAAATTCAGCCTCCGTATCCGTTTCGGAACCCTCACAGCCAACGCCGATTTTTTGCAACTCGCCGAGTCTGGGATGCTGTAATGGCTTCTCGCCAGTACTCATTGCACTCGACGCTACCTCCACAGACAACGAGCCGCCTAACACGGCAGCAACTTGATGGCGCAGCAGCTCTTCCATGCGCTCCTTTTGGTGCGGGCCCGAACGTGAGACGAAAAAATTTATCACAGGTCCCATGTCGGGTAGCTGGATCTCGGGAGCCAGGTCTGGCAGGTGGGATGACAATACATCAATGTCAGACTTGGTTATGTTCGGCAAGCGCGCATCGAAAAGCAAGGGTGTTTCGTTGGCAAAAGCAGGCGGCATATCGTTCATACCGGGGAATAGTATGTTCAGGAAGTGTCCATCGAAATTAGCATTGAATTGCTGCCTTCGCTTGATCTCTTCGCTGTGAATGATATCGAAGTCTTCGGCGAGTTTAGAGGCCCACAAACGAAACTCACCGGAGAAGATTTTGCGACGCACCACCTGGAAATTTAAAAAAATATATAGGTACTGTATTAACATCAACTGGATATTTTTAACGCAGTTCCACTTACCTCTGTTACGGCAGCCACATAAATGCATGGCGCCTGGTGTATTTGTTCGATGATCTGTATATGCCGCTCGGCACGGCGTAGACAACGCAGATAGAACAACAGTCGATTATCGAACTCGCTCATGCTGTTCTCAACGTGCACAATGCGATTCAAGCGCATGTGTAGATTAACGCCCAGCTCGTCTTTTGCTCTGGCAATGATGCGTCGGTGCTCGCGGATTTTCTGATGGTTGCCAACCATTACAGCCAACTGCGATTGATGCGAATCGCAAAGGTCCGGCAGTATGGAGGGATCTCGCAAATTGTTGACCCGACTTTGATTTTGCTGGAAAGCAGTGGAGAGTTCCTTTTGATCTAGCACCATACGCTTGACCTTATACTTGAAATCCTCCAGTTTGCAGAGCCGATCACTCAAGCCCTTTATCTCCTTAACATCGGGCTGCTCGGCTTGTTTCAGGATATGTTGAACTTCGTTCTTGAGCTGAGCATAAACATCCTTGTCGAAGGTACCAAGACCTTGGACACACTCGTCACACATGATTATCAAACGATTTTGGTTTTCTTTGGATGTGATCCACTGTAAGAGATTGAGCTTGGGGCGCGTGCTGTTGCTAGATGAACTCTGATGATTGACGACAGCCATCAATGTGGTCGTTGTGGTTGTCGTTTTCGTCACCGTCACCGCCACCGCCGTCGTCGTCGTATCGTCAACGGAATCTGTGCCCATTTTCAGTTTCTTGTTGGGTGATGTTGAGCTTTTGTCATCAGAGGTGGCGTTATCCTCTCTGCCTACATCTGTCGCTACAGCTTGTCCACCGCTAGCCGCTTGTTGTGCAGGTACACCGCCTGCCACTAGCACCGATTCTTGTGTTGAATGAGACCGTGAGAATACATCGTCTGGCTCCAGAAACTCATCGAATCCGTGGAAATCTTCTTCAGCCAAAGGCATCAAGCCAGGCAAAATGGGAATGCGTGCCAACATGGTCAGATCATCGTTGAAATTATTCAACAATTCTAAATAGTTGTCGCGATTTTCTAGATGCCGATCAAAAGCCGAACAGAAATTTTTGAAACGCGACCGAAATTCATCGATGAGATCTTCCATATTGGCCACAACAGCCGACCAACCTTGCTGCTGCAGGTGCTGCTCGTGCACCAGACGCTCGGAGAGACGCTCCTCATCGCGGGCATACTCGTACATCTTCAACGCCAGTTGAGCGCGCTTTTCCACCGAAGAATAGATTGGTGGCAGTTGCTTGCAGCGCTCCACCTGTTCGCTCAAATCTCGATCGGGCTCGCTCGGTTGCAGTGGCGGCGGCGTGCGTGGCTCACCAGTCAAAAACATATAGATGGGATTCGTATCGGTGCCAGCCGAATAGTAAGAGACTTGTGTATTCGGGGCCAACATCTCACCGCCGCTGACCAACAGTACAATATTTGCAGCCGGTATGCCATGAAGACGCTCGATAGTATCCTTGAGGTTTTCGACCGAAGACAGTGCCACCGTCATGTCAAAGGACATCATGCGTCCCACATCGACATGGAACACGTACAACATCATGGGGCTGTGTGGTTAACTACCGGTGATGTGCGTAGTTGTGGTTGTGTGGACGTGGACCCTCGCTATTGGCAGTGCTACAAACAGCTACGTATGTATGTATGTATTTAAATTTTAAAATTTTTTCCTCTTAGCGTCACAGTACAGATTGAAACATAAGCGTACGCCTCAGCGGAGCAAAGAGATTTAGAGAGCACGTAAATATCAAAGGATCGAGTGAGCGGCCTTACGAGCGATTGCGGAGCGCTTTGCTGGTGGCTGTGGCGGAAGCACTGGCGATAGTTTTATTGCACACAATCATTAAATGCTGTTACGAGTCAATTAATCTATTTGGAAAAAAGATACAAAAATTTAAACTGCAAATGAGATAAGATTTTTTATAAAAGTATAAATTAAATATATTTATGTATAATAAGCAGAAATTCAAGAGAAGAGAGCTCTTATTCCAGGATAAATATGTACATAGGCAAAGATATCGCATGCGGCCTTCAAGAGTACAATAAATCAAAATTTGTAATTTTTGGTATTATGCGCGCACAGATCGTATACATTTACGTTCTAGCAAAAGCGGAAGCAAATTCTCGTCGAACGTTTTATTGAGCAAATCTAAATTAAAGACTACTTTGCAGAACAGCAATTGGAGGAAACGCTCAAATATGGTCCTGTTCATCCACAAATAACTAAGGATATAATTTTAAAACTATTTAGGGGTTCGTTTCGCCTTTAACTGGAAAAAGCCTTGGAAACTTCGAAAAAGTCGATACTTTGATTGAGAGCTTAAGATTTGTATGAAATGAACAAAAAAAAGCTTTGTTCGATAAAAAATTCGGCAATATGGGGAATTTTTATGCTGTTACAACAACAAAAATATTATCAGAAAGTTCACTTGTTGGAAATTAAAAACTGCTTTTCGAAAGTGATTTTACTTGCAAAGTGTAGCTACTCCTACAACCATTTTTCGGAATATTTGAGTTTAACATCATTTTTAAAACAACTTGTACATAACAGCTTAACATACTTTTCGAAAGTGCTGGCGTTTTTATAGACAAGCAACTAAAAAAATTAAATTTCAGAAAGATTTGGTAGTATAAATAAAAAATATATCCGGCTCTTTATAATTTTGTCACAGAGGTATTATGATAAATTTGTTTTGCTAATTCGGCTTTTATAGTCGAAAATTGTATTTCATGTGAAGTTTTTATTTAATAATTCTAATCAACGTTGAAGTAGTCGTTAATTTTTCTATGTATGTACATGGGTATGTATGCATAGGTACATATGTATGTACATACATATATAGTGCAAGAACTAGTTTGCTTGCCGACCAGTTCAGACTTTTTTTTTTGTGTCTTGCTTTTGTGTAGTTTACATACTCACATAGATATTATTTAGTTTTTGTGCTTGCGCTCAGCTTGACTATATCAGCTGTTTTCGTTCATACACATTTACAATATATGTAGTACGAATACAGAAACAAAAAATTCTACTATGTAGACTTAAACATATTGTTCATTTATTAAAAGACTGCCACAATTCAAAAAAAAACAAGATTTTTCAGGAAACGCGTTTAAAATTTTTAATTTGCTCTAAAAATGCAGAAAAACGATATGCATATTGTTTTTTTTTTAGGCGGAAACTATGTACACAAGATTTTGGTACGAAATTTGGACACAAAATGAAACAGGATATCTGCATCATTTGCTCAAAAATTTCGTTTTTTGACTTATGAACAGTTTTTAAGTAAATAAGCGATATGTATCTACATTTGCACAGGTAAGATAGTATGCGTTAAGAATAAGAAACGTCAACATTTTCAAGTATGTACTAAAAATATGTAATATTGCGAAATAACACCCAATCTGGTCCAGGTGGTCCAAGATTCTACGCTAGATTCGATGGGGGTCTACGTGGGCGTGCAAAAAAAATGGTTATGAGTGGGGGTCTGGTTTCGATAGTAAAGAGAAGAATATATGTTGGCTTGGCTTTATCTATGAATGTAGGCAGATAATACACTGCTAAAAACAATTGACCCAATGTCCCTACCTTCTACTAAATTTAGAGTTGATGTTAAGAGACAGTGATGATAAGTAATTCGGAAAAACAGATATGTTTTAACTGTGCCATTTCTGTATTAACAAAGCTTTTCTTTTAACGGCATATGTAGAAGATGGAGACGGCAAGAGAGCAAAAAAAGTGTTCCAAATCTTTCGGTGATATTTGACAGGCAGGGAAAGAGCGGTCTGTCTCTAAATAGAGCATTATAAAATATACACTGCGTTGCATAATTATAAGACCGCCACATATGAAGAAGGGTTTTTGTAATTCTTTATAAAAGGATAAAAAGATATGAAGAATTAATTGGCCAGCAAAAATGCTTAAAATTACATCTTTTTATATTTTTATTTAAATTATTTTCTTATAACAAACAAATCCACATTTCAAATTTTGTGCAAAAATTATAAAATTTTTTCGGATTTCCACCAAAGTTTCACACTTTTTTTTTTAAGAATTTTTGGAACATTTTTGTGTATGCAGTTTTATAGCCCATACAATTTTAGTATAATAAAGTTAAGGAAGAAAATGAGTGACCCCGTCAACAAAAAAAAAAATCAACGATATTTTGTAGCCACTTCAACTTGCTCTTTATTATATGTATAGTGTTCTACGAAAACAAAAAGTTTGGGAACCTCTGGGTTAGAGTATTGAGCACCACATTCTTCATAGAACTTTTTTAATAAATTGGCTAGAGTATATAACGAAAACGTTGTTACGTGTGTAGCTTAATTTAATCAAAAACGAACTATGACCAAATTAAAAAAAAAATTAGTTAAGTATGCCGAAATGACCTCCTCTCCTTCGATGTTGTGTAAAAATTGTGTACATAGTTGTATCAATTAATTTTTCTTTAATTTTTCTCGAGTTTTGGATTTTTTGCATTATGACACTCTTGCAGCAAATGAGCGATATGTACATAAATACATACATACATATGTATGTATGTAGAAGGTATACGAAAGAAACTGAGATACAAAAAAAAAAAAGACAAAATAAAAACAAACATAAAACACCAAAAACCCGTCTGTGAATTGTTCACAGATCGAAAACAAATCACATCAAAACACGCGGAATAAGAAAAAAGCTAAACATAAAAAAGCAAAAGGCATTACCTAGACAAACAAAACAGACAAAGACTGATAAGGAGAATAGTCAATGGACGATGTACATACAAACACTACAGTACAGTTTTTCACTACAACAATTTGGCTACAAATGTTACGAAAGAAAAAAATAACTAAAAACATGTTCTTACACAAGCGCAATGTACTCCGAAAAACTTAGTGTATGTTGGGGGAAAAAAAAAGGAAATGTAAATAAACTTACTAAGAGAAACTAAAAATAATTATTTTGTATAAAAATAAATAGATCATACGTACACACAAGCGTATGTACATAAAGAGCAAAAATAATAAACTAATTACATAGCGTGAAAATTTGAAATAAAACAGAACTAAAAATTTAGTATAAAAAATCACATTTAGCAAAAACCAGACGAGCACTAAAAATTCGCTCGCTACTAGAATTTAGAAATAAATATACTAAGCCTGTATGCAAAGCTACGTACATATGTATTTAGGTATGTGCATGCATATATACAGTGACTCAAACAATGCTCACGTGTTGATTTTTTATTTTTTATATTCGTAATGTTTTTCAGGCTAGTTTGTTTGTTAGTTCTCTATAAAAATACCGCCCAAGCTTTAACCAAAACCATATAAATCACTGTTTCAAACTTAATACAAAACTAAGGAAAATTCAAAAAATTTTCATCAAAATTTCAACTTTTTAATCTGTATTTTTAGAAAATTTTTGGGTACGCAGTGTTATTTTTTTTTTTGTTATTTCCCATACAAGTCCAGTCTAATGAAGTGCAAGTTTCAAAACGCTAAAAAATCAAATTGATTTTTGGGTTTTTTTTTCGGTGACGAATTTTTGTACTTTTTTCCATATAAGCATGAATTTCTTATGAACCAAAACGCGGAAGAGCGTTAGAAACGAAATTTCAAAAAAATCAACGCCAGATTTTGTA